TTTTTTAAATTTAGATTCAGGTTAGTTAACATATAGTATAGTATTGGTTTCAGGAGTAGAATTTAGTTATTTGGCACTTAGATATAACACCCAGTGCTCATCACAGAAAGTGCCCATCATCCATTTAGCCCATCCCCAAATAAGCCCCCTCCAGCAACCCTGTTTGTTCTCTAAAGTTGAGTATCTTATGGTTTTGCTTTCCTCTCTGTTTTTATCTTATTTTTCCTTCCCTTCCCTTATGTTTATCTGTTTTGTTTCATAAATTCTACATGAGTGAAATCATACGGTATTTGTCTTTCTCTAACCTATTTCCAATCAGATGATTTTTTGAAGGTTTATTTATTTGAGAAAGAGAGAGAGAGAGAGAGAGCAGTGGGAGGGGCAGAGAGTAAGCAGGGGGAGAGGCAGAGAGAGAGAGAATCTCAAGCACACTGCCCACTCAGTGAAGAGCCCAATGTGGAGCTCCATCTCAGGACCCTGAAATCACAGCCTGAGCCAGCCGAAATCAAGAGTGAGACATTTAACCGACCGAGCCACCCAAGTGCCCCAGATAATTTTTTAAAGGGACTATGCAGAAAAATTATCCCCAAACCAAGTGTTGCCATCTGCCATTCAGTTACGGTTTAAGGGCCAGAACTTGAGTCTTTACTGTTTTCTACTTCCCCTTTTTTCGTTTTCTCTCAAATCTCTTATTCAGGCTTTCACTCTTACCACTCTACACTGCTCCTAACAAGAACTTCAATCTTATTCAACTTCAACAACACCAGATATATTTGATTAGTGTATCCTGTAAATAGTTTCTTCGATTGGTCTCCAGTACACTACTGTTTGATTACCTACCTCCCTGGCCACAACTTTTCAGATTCTTTTCACTGATTTTCCTCTTCATCTTATCTTTAAACACTACAGTTCCCCAGTATTCTGTCTTCACTTCACTTCTTCATCTATAGTAATTTCTTTTCTGTTCTTATTCATGTAGCTTTATATGTCATTTGAACACTAATGACTTCCAAATCTATGTCTAAAGCTCCAAACTCCCCAGAACTCCACATTTATGTAGTCAACTGCTTACTTGACATCTCCACTTGATTAAGAGTCATTTCAAATTTAACATGTTGATCCTAAACATGTTTGATCCTAAAACTGAATCCTTTTATTTCCTCCCCAAAACATATCCCTTCCCAAACTTCCACTTTTCAGTGAATGGCAACCATATCCTCATAGTTATTAAAACAAAAAATCCTGCAGTCATCTTAAATTCCTCTTGGTGGGGCACCTGGGTGGCTCAGTGGGTTAAAGCCTCTGCCTTCAGCTCAGGTCATGATCTCAGGGTCCTGGGATCGAGCCCCGCATCAGGCTCTCTGCTCAGTGGGGAGCCTGCTTCCTCTTCTCTCTCTGCCTGCCTTTCTGCCTACTTGTGATCTCTATCTGTCAGATAAATAAATAAATCTTTAAATTCCTCTTGTTTCCTCTACATGCTCAGCAAATCCTGTCAGCCCTAACTTCAAAATATATACTACCCCTTATCACTTCTTATCACTCCAGTGGATACATGAATCCAAGTTACCATTTTGTCTTCCACGGACTACTATAATATTCCACCAAGTCTCCCTGCTTCTGACCTTTCCCCACTGTAGTTCTAGTCTCAACAAAGCAACCTAGAATAACACTTTTAAAATTAACCACATCCCTCTTCTTTCTGAAAGCGGCTTCCTAGCTCATTCAATAAAAGATAACACCCCTGATAAGGCCTACAAGGCCTTGCAATATTTATCACCTTGCTGCCACTCTGGACTCCTCTCCTTTTACTGACCTCACTTCCACACACTGTAGTCAAACCATCTGCCTTACTATACCTGAACAAGACAGGCACACTTTGCACATAAAGGATTAGAGTAGAGATAAAGCTCATGAATTAGAAGTATTTAAGGGCTTGGAACAGGAAGAGGCTCTGAGAGGAATAACAAAGGGGGGCCCAAGAGGAAGAATGGAAACAAGAATAGTCATAGAAATTAAGGAGGAAAAAAGACACTAAAAAGAGATAGATCATCAAGGTAATATTTATAAAAGTGGAGGGAAAAAGATAAAGGAGAATTAAGTTATAGCAGGGAACAGAGTAAAAATACCATGCATAAAGAAATGGGAAATATATTAACCCATTATAGTTGCTATTTCTGGATGGCAGTATCAAGTGTTTTTATTTGTTCTTATAACATCTGTTGTGTTTTCAGAAGTTTACACTTTTGCCCACATACCTTTGGTTGGGTCCTTTATCCAAAGGCATGGCCCTACATATAGGATATATTCCTTTAGAGATCTCAACAGAAGGCCCAAACTTTTTACCAAGGTCCCTATAACTTTCCAGTTCTTGAACTCTAATATTTTCTCACCAATATTAAGTGGCTGGTAAAGTCTACTCAGTTTGCTAGTTGTACACTTCTACTAAGATTCCTTGAGTTTTATACAGCCCAAAAGAAGCTAGAATTCATTCAATTACTTAGGGGGAATTTGTAAGCAGATTAAGGTCCTAATTCTCTGAGGTTCTCTACTCTCTGGGCTTTAACCTCTTACTTCTTATTAGTTTCCCTGACAGTTCCAAACTTCAACGTCTATTTCCTCATCCCTGAAAGTCTATCACTTTCTGTTTAGGATCTGTTTGCTGCACCACATCAGAGAGAGCTGAAAAATTCTCTGTGGAAAAAAAAAGCCAAAGTAAACATGCACTCTTCTTCCCATATGAATTCCCCCCTCCTTCAAGAATCAAAGTTCTTCAAGATCCTCCCTACATTTGATGAAGAGAAAGAGAGAGAGAAAGGCAAACCAAGAAACAGACTCTTAACTATAGAGAACAAACTGATTACAGAGGGTAAGTGGGGTGGGGAGATGGGTGAAACAGATGATGGGGATTAAAGAGCGCACTCGTGATGAGCACTGGGTGTTGCATGGAAGTGCTGAATCACTAAATTCTGCACCTGCAACTAATATTACACTGTATGTTAACTAACTGGAATTTAAGTAAAAACTTGGGGAAAGAAGATCCTCCTACACTGACTGCTCTTCAACACCTGAAGACAGTTTTTTAAAATACTTTCTTCAGACTTTAGAATATTTTTCTGGAAAATCAAAGTGCAGGAGATTTGTATACTGAATTGATCTTATGTAGCTTTCTAAGGTGTACATCAAAAAGACAGTTTCTCTGCTTCCTTGGAGAAAGAGTGCTTCCAACAAATATGGCGCCCCTGTATAACTCTTTAAGCCATTCTTTGCCTTTCTGAAACAAAGTGAATCTAGGTACGGATTTTTCTGCTAGCAAAGTAGTCCCCAATTTCCTTTACAACTATTATAAATAGGAAAGTTGCTCCTGGATTTAAGATGAGTCCCTTGTTATCAGAAATATATGATTTTGCTGGCATTTTCTGAGGCACTGTTTCTTGATCCCTAAACATTCTATCTCCTTTTCTCATCTCACCTCCATGTAGTTTCTGCCACATTTCAGTTCTCATTAGTCCCATTATTAAACTAAGTGTTATTAAATTAGGGTTATTATTTTTGTGTTTCAAGGTGAGCCATTCACATTCATGAAGTTATTTTCTTAGTACTTTCAGAAATGTATGCCTTCATGGTCCTTGTTTAGACACTCCCTTTTCATTTTTACACAACTTCTATCCAATCTTGATGGTTTTGGCACTCCTTACCTATAAATTTGAGGTAATAGCTTATATGTTGCAAAGGTTCACTAAAAGGATTTTCAAGTTTCCTGTTTCTACATTCTCATGTCTGGTATTTTATAAAAGAAGAAGAGGAACAATAAAGAGTATTCTGGTCATGCATTCATATTAGAATCTTCTTAATTATAGTCTTATTATGCCTCAATAACAAATTTTATCTTAGAAGGCATACCAGTCATTTACTAATACCTCTCATCTCTAAATCCACCCTTCTAAGCACCGACTCTGAGGCCGGGATTTGCCAACTTTGCCTCACAAGCTCCTATGTCTGGTGGAGGGCATTAGAAAGATACTGTGGAAAAGGAAATAAAAAGTGTTACTGTGGTTTCTATAAACCATTCCACCAGAGAAAAGTTGGTTCCAGCCTCCAGTTGCTTTTGACATTCCCAGAAACAACTTCACTGCCCTTCTTCATACATATCAGCAGCAGCCATGTGATTTCATCTCCTCAGAATTTGAGCTCTAGTGTCTCAAGACCCATCATCTAAGTTCCTGAGTTCTGGTACCCCCAACCCATTATCTTTTGTTCCCCCAGCCATTAGACTCCTTTCTGCAGTTATTATTTTGGGTTGTATTGGCATTTCCTTTTTTTTTCTTTCATTTTTTCAAACATGTGTGTTTGAAACTCCCTACATTAAATTCTAACTTATAAAGTGACTTATAAGTTTCTCTTTTCCTGACTCAACCCTAACTAAACTCTGATGCTTTCTCAACCTCTGTTCAAAACATTATTTCTAGTACCAAAAGCTATCATATATAATATCCTAAATTTTACATTTTAAAATGATTAATTTTAAAAATCAAAATTTTATAGTAGCATTTATATTTATTACTTTTAAAATTTGGACATGACAGTAAAGAATTTCTCAAAATCACTCATAATCTGAATGTACAAAAATAACAAATGTTAACATTTTTATATATTTACATCTTGTCTCTCTTCTATTAGAGATTGCACTTGTTACCCTATCAGAAACTATTCTCATAATGCAAATAACTGTAAAAGACATGCTGCATGCATAACTGTTTTTATAAAATTCACAACAATTCAGGTAACCTTTCTAGTATACAAGAAAACAGATTAAAGTTGTCAGTATTTAAGAAATAGTGTGGCCTCAGAATTATATGATATATAATAAAGCAATAAAGCAAATTTATTTTTGGCAGGAAAACATCCTAACAACATATTTTATACTACAAACTAAAAAGAAAAAGGCCTTCCTTTGCAACTTCTAAAAATTATAAATAAATTTAGTAAGGCCAGCTACTCACCCCCTATTACTGACAATTGCCTTTTTCAAGTGAATGTAATTTGCAGGAAAGATCCCCTGTAAAAGAGAAAAGATTTCCCATTAGAAAAGGAAATTCGTGATTACCATCTCAAATATATTAAAATAGCAGCCGGATTTCAGCATGGAAATACTCTATCGATAATACAGTAGATAGGGGTGCGTGGGTGGTTCAGTCGGTTATGTATCTGCCTTAAGCTTAGATCATGACCCTGGGTTCTGGGATGGACCCCTGCATCCGGCTCCCTGCTCAGCAGGGAGCCTGCTTCTTCCTCACCCTCTGTTGGCCGCCCCCTTGCTTGTGCTTGTGCTCTCTCTTGCTCTCAAATAGATAAATAAAATCTTTTTAAAAATACAGTAGATATCTTAGTGTAGCAACCACTTTGCATATTAAGAATGCAAAGTTGCACAAACTATATACATTATATAGGAATTTCATTGTCATATGTACTCAGAGTCCGTCCTCAGGGGAAAACTGTGATCTTAGGCAACTACCAAAAAGACTTTTAAGTTACAGATTGGGAATATTCCATTTAATCACTCTCAGGATATAGACTTATATACAGAACTTGGCCTGTACCTACAAAACCAACAATATTACCTAACCAGCTAATATCACCTATGTTATCCAGCTCTGAGCTGGAGAAACAATTCTCAGACTCTGGCTCACATTTATATTCATAAGAATGAATCAATTTAGAAGTTTTTATAAACATTTCTTCTTTTACTCTTTCATTATAGAGTTTCCATTTTCATATTTGCTATAATTTGATTTCAATTCCTAACAGATAAAAAATGAATTGTTTTTAAAAACAATTAAGTTTTCCAATCAGTGCTTCATTCCTTTTCCTGATGTACGAAACTCCCTTCAAATAAAACACAATGGCCTAAATTTTTTATATTCTCTGGCCTCCACCACTGCTAATAATAAATCTATACGAGACTAGGCCATCAGCAGCTGGACTTTATAGTTTTCAATGTACAGATTTCTCACCTCCTTGGTTAAGTTTATTCCTAAGTTTCTGCTTGCTTTCACTGCTATTTTAAATAGACTGCTGCCTTCCTTTTTTCAGGTATTTCACTGTTAGTGAACAGAAACACAGTTAAATTCTTTGTGTTAATTTTGTATCCCATAACTTTACTGAAGTTTTTTTTTTTTTTTTTAAGATTTTTATTTATTCATTTGACAGAGAAAGAGAGATCACAAGTAGGCAGGCAGGGGGGAGGGAAGCAGGATCCCCACCGAGCAGAGAGCCTGATGCAGGGCTCAATCCCGAGACCCTGAGATCACTACCCGAGCCAATGGCAGAGGCTCAACCCACTGAGCCTCCCAGGTGTCCCTTTACTGAATTTTTCATTGGTTTTAACAGTTTTTTGGTGGAGTCTTTAGGATTTTCTACATATATCATATCATATGCAAGCACATACAATTTTATTTCTTCCTTTCTTATTTGAATAACTTTTGTTTCCTTTTCTTACCTGCTGTTCTGGCTAGGACTTCCAGTATTCTGTTTAATAGGAGTGGTGAGAGTGAGCACCCTTGTCTTGTTGCTCCTCTTAGAGAAAAAGATTTCAACTTTATACCACTGCATATGATGTTAGCTCTGGACTTGTCATATCACGGCCTTTCTTATGCTGAAGTATATTACTTCTAAACCCAAATTGCCAAGTTTTATTCATTAAAGGATTCTGGATTATGTCAAATGCTTTTTCTGCATCTACTGAAATGATTATACAATTTTTATCTTTCATTCTATCAGTAAGATGTATCAAATTTATTAGTTTGGTAATGTTAAACCATCCTTTCGCCCCTTGATATGATCCTTTAAAAGTGCTGTTAAATTCAGGTTGCTAATATTTTGTTGAGAAGTTTTGCATCTGTATTCATCAGGGATATTGTCTTTGGTTCTCTTTTCCTTTATTGTCCTTATCTGGCTTGGGTATCAGGGTATTACTGGCCTCATAAAAAGAGTATGGAAGTGTTCCCTCCTCTTCAGTTTTCTAGAAGAGTTTGAGAACTGGTACTGACTCTTATTTTTTTTTAAGATTTTATTTATTTATTTTGCAGAGAGATCACAAGTAGGCAGAGAGACAGGGGAAAGCAGGCTCCCTGCCGAGCAGAGAGCCTGATGTGGGACTCGATCCCAGGATCCTGAGATCATGTCCTGAGCCAAAGGCAGAGGATCAACCCACTGAACCACCCAGGTGCCCTGGTATTGACTTTTTAAAGTTTGGTAGAATTCACCAGTAAACTCATCAGGACCTAGACTTTTCTTTGTTAGAAGATTTTGGTTGCTCATGCAATCTCCTTACTCACTACTTAGATGATTAACAATTTTTTTATTTCTTCCTGATTTATCCTTGGTAGGTTATATGTTTCTAGGGACTCACCCATTTCCTCCAGGTTATCCAATTTGTTGATATTAATTTGTCATAGCATTCTCTTATAATCCTTTCTATTTCTATGGTATCGTTTTAAATGTTTCCTTTTCATATCTCATTTCATTTAAGTTTTTCCTATTTTCCCTTAGTCTATCTCAGGATTTGTCCATTTTGTTCATCTTTAGGGGGAAAAAACCCCTGTTCTTAGTTTTGTTAATCTTTTCATAGATTTCTGGTCTCTATTTCACTTTTTCCACTCTGATCTTTGTTATTTCCTTCCTTCTGCTAAATTTGAGCATAGTTTTTTTCTTCTTTTTCTAGTTCCTTAAGATGTAAAGTTGGGTTGTTTATTTGACATCTTTCTTTTTTCATATTGTAGGCATGTATTACTATAAAATTCCCTCTTAAAACTGCTTTTGCAGCCTCCCATAGCATACTGTTTCCATTTTAATTTGTGTCAAGGTATCTTTTTATTTCCTTTGTGATTTTTTTTGACCACTGGTTATTCAGAACTGTATTGTTTAATTTGAACATATTTGTGAATTTTCCAGTTTTCTTCCCATTACTGATTTCTACTTTCATACCTTGTAGTCTAAAAAAGATATGTAGTATAATTTCAATCTTCTTAAATTTGCTAAGCCTTGCTATGTGACCTGTCATAGGATTTATTCTGAAGAATGTTCCATTTTCAGTTGAGAATAATGTATATCCTGCTGTTGGTGAATGAAATGTTCTATCTACTTCTGTGAGGTTCGTTTGTTCTAAAGTACAGTTCAAGTCCAATGTCTCTTTGTTGATTTTCTGTCCAGATAATCTATCTACTGAAGTCTCCCACTATTATAATCTAATTCTCCATCTAAATCTGTGTTTAATACATTTATTATATATTAATATATTAGTTTCTGATGCACCTTTATGAACGATGTATCTTCTGGTTGAGTTGATCCTTTTATCATTATATAAATGATTTCTTGATATCTAGTTATACTTTTTGACTTAATGTCTATTTTACTCAGTGTAAGTATAGCTACTTGTGCCCTCTTTTGGTTTCCACTTGCATGAAATATCTTTTTCTATCCCTTTACTTTCAAGCTATATGTATCCTTAAAGCCGGAGTAAGTCTCTTATAGGTGGCATGCAATAAGCTGGGCCTTGTTTTTTAATCAATCCAGCCACATTAGGTCTGTCAATTAGAGAATTCAATCTATTTACATTTAAAGTAATTATCGATAGGTAAAGACTTACTAATGCTATCTTATTATTTCCAATTCTTTTATAATTGCTTTGCTTCTTTCATCTTTTGCTGCCTTCCTTTGTGAACTGATGATTTTCCATAGTGGTATGTTTTGATTCCTTTATCTGTCATCTTCCAGGATTCTGCTGTAGGTTTTGCTTTGTGGTTACCATGGTTTTATGTAACACATCTTATAAGTCTATTTTATACTCATAACAACTTAACTTTGATCATCTATAAAAACTCTACCCTTTTACTCTCCCCTGCTTTGATTTTGATGTCACAATTTACCTGTGTTTGTATTTTATATTTTAAAATTACTATAGCTATGTTTTTAATACTCTCATCTTTTAATACTAGAGTTAATATACCATCATATCATAGTATTAGAGTATTCTAAATCTGACTACATAATAACCTTTACCAGTATGTTTTATATTTTCATGCTTTCATGTTCTTAATCAGTGTTCTTTCATTCAGCTTGAAGAACTCTTTTAGCATTTTGTAAGGCAGGTCTAGTGGTAAATTCCCTCAGCTTTTGTTTAGTTGGGAAAATTAGTATCTCTCCTTCATTTCTGAAGAACGGCTCTGCTAGGGTAAGGATTCTTGGTTGGTGGGGCTTTTTTAAATTTCAACACTTGGACTATATTACCCTACTCTTTTATAGCCTGTTATTATTTTTGCTGAGAAATCCAATGGTAGTCTAATGGGGGGGTAGTTACCTCATAAGTTACCACTTTTGTTTCTTTTGCTGCTTTTAAAATCTTTCCTTGTCTGTGACTTTGACAATTTTATTATAATGTGTCTTGGAGGGGATTTCTTCATGTTCAGTTTGTCTGGTGACCTATGAAGACTATGAACTTAGATGTCCAAATTTCTCCCTAGATTTGGAAAGTTCTTAGCCATTATTTCTTTAAATAGGTTTCCTGACCCCTTTTCCCCCATCTTCTCCTTTTAGAACTCCAATGATTCACAAATTGGTCCCACTGATATGTACCACCTATCATGAAGTCTTTCTTTACTCTTCCTCATTTTTTTCTTCTTTTCCAGTCAGGTTTCCTCTGATTATATAATTTCGAAGTTCCTATCTTTAATTTCACTGATTCTTTCTTCTGCTTGATCAAACCTACTGCTGATGTGCTCTATTACATTTTTTTTCCATTTCATTTACTGAGTTCTTCAACTCCAGAATTTGTTTGGTTCTTTTTCATTATTTATCTCTTTGATAAAATTGATAAATTTTTATATTGTTAATGTATTGTTTTCCTGATTTCACTGAATTGTCTTTCAGTGTTTCCTTTAGCTTATTAAACTTCCTTAAAAGAGCTTTTTTGAGGGGCACTGGGGTGGTTCAGTTATTAAGCGCCTACCTTCGGCTCAGGTCATGATCCCAAGATCCTGGGATCAAGCCCCACATCAGGCT